AGATTTTTCCACCCTAAAAACTCGAGTAGCTCATTTGCATCAGCATCATAGTTAGAGAATGTCAACACACGGGCTGCCCTATTCTGCAATTTCTGCGGTTTGTCTCGTAGCGTTTTCCCACAGCTACCCCAAACAATGTCACAGTAATCAAAGTGACGTTTTACTAAAGCTTGGTAAATGAGATATAAGGTTACTGCTGGGATCAGGTGCCTAATATGCTTTAGGGCCCCGATACCAGAGGCGATCTTTTTCGTTAGTTTTTCGACGTGATTATGCCAATCGAGTTTATCGACTATTATTACACCAAGCGATTTCGTAGCTGTAAACTGGCTCACTTGAGTCACACAAGGGTGCCTTCAAATCCACCATGAAGTGCACTCACGCGAAGCTAAAGCAGCAAGGTTCGCGCTATTCACATGAAACGTGAAAGGGCAAGCTGACGTTTACCGTTTCCTGTAAACGCGGTTCCAAATCTCTCAATTATCTCGACTGAGATAGAAATGTAGAGTTCATTTCAATTTTAAAAGAACTTTGAATTATTTGCAGAACATGAATGAGTCTGGATTCAGAGTCTGCGTCAAGGAACTGTACGAGACCAGATATGATCCTGTGTCAGTGAATTATGCGGTCCTAACAGGTCTGTATGCAACTAATATTTACAGAGAGAAGATCCAACTAATTTAAAACCTTGTCACGTATGAATGAATATCTATTATTCTTTTCAAGATTAAATAACACATTTATTTCCAGACGTCTGTAATCCCGGATGGAGCTACTTCAATGGTTTCTGTTACTTCACAAGTGATATCTGTAGAGATTGGACCACAGCAGTAGTAAAATGTAGACAAGAAAGCTCAGTCCTTGTTGATGTCAACAACACTGAGGAAAATGTTTACATTCAACATCGCCATAATGGAGATAAATCCTGGCTGGGTTTGAATGACAGATCAACAGAGGGTGACTTTACTTGGGCGGATCGTGGACATGGAAACTTTACAGCATGGGCCAAGAATCAGCCAAATAACTTCAAAGAAGAAGATTGTGCGCACGCACTTGGTGTGAAACACGACTATGAATGGAACGACGTGCAGTGTAGTGATTGTCATAAGTTTACTTGTAAGAAAGGTAAGTCAAACATATATAGTTAAAAATATAAAGTAAAAAATATTGAATGAAGATAACCTTTTCATAAGCAAATACAGTTGATGTTTTACAATGGCCAGTTTGGTGCTACTAGTGTAATGATGCAGTTTTGTCTGGGCTTATCCTGGGTTTTGAAGCGTAATACAGCTTCGAATATGCCTCTCCTTCTGTACAAGATGCCAGTCGATCACATGTAAGTCGTAGCATGCAGTTTGTCATATTTCCTTTCAGGAGAATTCATTGATAACCATACTTACTTTTTGATGTGGAGAGCACGGTGAAAGCTGGGTATCTGGCATAGCCATGTTCAACAACACGACACAGTGATTCTGTCCGGGTCGGACACATAAAGCGGCGAAGATGTCGAATAATAACAGAACAGCGCTTCAACCAACGAGTTTAATGACGGCGAAGAATACCAATATTTACAAAACGATCCGGTCGCCCTTTCATCCGCCTCCCGTCCAATGGATAGAGTGCCGGACTATTGTGCGGGAGGTCGAGGGTTCGAGCCCCGGCCGGACCAGCACTCAGGGTCTTAAAATAATTGAGAAGAATTTGCTTCCTTTCTATAACATCAAGAAATGGTTAGATATTCTAGTCTTCTCGGATAGGGACGAATAAATGGAGGTGCCGTCTCCTGCATCTACTTATTAGTTAATTTGGTTAGGCAGGGGACGTTAAAGAACCCATTTCACGAGATTACTGTGATGTCGTCTGGCCTGGTTACTGGGAATTGGGGGGAGGGGGCATCTGTTATATTCGCCTTCATTTGATTGTAAACTGCTTAGCAGTCTGGCAAAGTCCCCCGCACAGTGTTGTAAAGCGCCACGAGTTTAAGATATGAGCGCTATATAAATGCAAGTTACTATTATTATTGTTATTATTATCATCAAAGATTACGAGACTTAAAGAACCATAAAAACCACATGATGAAGGGCGGTAAACGAAAGAAAAAAGAACAGTTTCACTTGCCTAAATTATTTACAAGCACTTCACCACGTGCGAAAAAGGATAACGAGAAAAATTACTACTGAAGAATTGCGGTCTACGTGACATACAAATGAGGAACGGAAAGCAACGGACTAAAACATAAAAACATCGTTGAGGAATAGCCTCAACAGATTCTACTGTAAGCTCAAATTTGAACCTTGGTACCACCAGCCTATCAGGGAAACTTTAAAATTTTCTTAGTGGGAGAGGGAGGCATGGAGACCAGCGATGCTCCTAGTCAGTTCAGGGAGTACGGAATACGCTCCGTCAGTATATGGGTAGTTAAGTTAGAAGAGCTTAACATAACCTTTTCTGGTTCTTCAGTGTTGAGTGATTGTTTACTACTTCATTTTATTCCATTATTAGACTTAGATGAATGCCAAAATCATCTGAATTACTGTCACAAGAAGGCCACTTGTACAAATGAACGCGGCTCGTACACGTGCAAGTGTAGAGCTGGATACGTTGGAGATGGATTTAATTGCAACAGCTATGCAGGTTATATGTGTTGAAAAACAACTTAAAATACATTGGTATGGCCTTTAATGCCCAAAAAACTTAGAAATGGAAATATGTTAACTTTAACAAGAAACTGTCGGTAAAGCAGGGAAGTGAGAGTTTGGCGTTCGTACTTATATATTTTAACCGAACTCTGGCTTTCTTTTGAAACCTTGATAGGACAAAAAACTGATTTCAAAATCTCTTCTGAGCCTTTTATTTATCTGAAAAAAAAATTTTGGAAGATTTTTTTTCATCTTATTTTTGCATACATAAAAAGTGTATTCCACACGTGACAACTGAGTTCAAAATTTATCACATTTCCTATTGTAGTGATTAACATAACTTCGCAGAAGTGGGCAAGTTTCCTGTCTCAGGAGCCTCAGTAGTTTATGCTCAGCGTCACCAACGAATTCTCTAATGTTTAATTGTTTACTGTTGTTGTGTCAATGTCCGACCTCTTCTTTACACATTCACATGTAAAAATGTTATGGCAATGAAACAAAAGGGGGTCAAAGGTGAAATAATACTGATTTCCTGTTTTAAGGACTGGGTTATTCGGCAATATTGGCAAACGATGACAATTACTTTGGTACCTTGAGCAGTTGGTTAAGCCCTGTGGTGCAGAGCCAGTCCTCTTACTGGAAGCGCTGCTGGAGAGCATCAGTGGATGGTTGGGCTGCCTCTACCTTCCACTCATTGTGTGACAGCAAAGGGCCAACAGTGACCATTGTCCGTGTGGGAAAATACATATTTGGTGGATACAACAGCTTATCATGGAGTAAGTGCATAACCTATGGAATTTGCTTGCCTTTTCTCCTCGCTTAAATTAAAATCTACAAGCGCATCTGGTTTCTAGCTTGAAAAAAAACAAACAAACAAACAAACAATCACTCAAACA